TGGACCAAAAGAAATGGCCCAAAATTACTTGGAAAAATGCCTGGTTCCAGTGACTTACATTAAAAGTAAAGTAGGTTTTTTTCCTTTTCCTGTAAAGTTAGCAATTTGGAGAGGTTTGGAGGTTTTCCTCTGACAAAAGCATTATACACTATATACACACACACACACATATACATATGTATGTTTATATATCAGGGACAACACACATCAACTAACACAAAGGTAAATATCGCAGTGTTAGCCAATTTGATCATTTTCAACTTGGGCCTGGTTTTATTAGACATTAAAGAATTCAAATAAATCCAGTAAGAGAGTTTACATGCAGACAAACAAATATTCTAACTAATATAATACAGCACATTGAAGAGAGATTGTCTATCAGCAGGCTTGGCTGAGCTCCACAACAGATTGTACTTGCAAAAGAGAGTCTGTTGTCAGTGCACTTTCCCCCAGACAATACAATTGGCCTGAAACACCACATCAATCCTCTAGATTAGTAACACCATCATGTTCAATTCATCATAGACAAAGCATGAAATAGTTATAATCACACAGACACTCAGTCCTCTTTCTGGCACCTATAGTTAGTTCAGTTCAGAACAGTTTATTACTTTGAATTTGTAAATATAAAAATAATAAAATAGAACTTAAGTGTGTGTCAAGCTTATAGGAATGCTTGGGCAAAAAAATCTCATTCACACAGTTTTCCACTTACTGCACATTTTACTTCTTTAGTTTTAAACTGGAGCTATGAGGCTAACTTTGCTAGCAAACACTCAAAGTCAATAGTCACCCAAATCTTTTCTGTGAATACATCCCCAAAACTACTTCTCTCCACTCTCAAATCATATCCAGGGGTTGTATTGCAGAAATGTCTTAAGTATGAAATCTTATCTTATCTGTTCAGTCACCATGATGACTTCAGTTAGGACTGAATTTAGGACAGATGCCATTACAGAACAACAGTCACTCAGTTCTTAATCTTATCCTAACTCCAGATAAGACAGATAAACATATTAACAGTAAACAGCATTACAGAAACATTGTAACTACACAAAATTTCTTAAATACTAATACTAATACCAACTTTGACAACCCCAAAGGAGTCTTAACTTCTGTTTTAACTGTCTGTTTCCATTTTTTTTGCAGCTGTGACAGGCAGCATAGTTCACTACAAACATATGAACATCACATTTATCTATATTACTAATATGGTTTGGTTTGACTTGTGAGATGTTTTTTTGTCTCTTTTTTTTTTACTTTTTTTCCAATGCAGACACAATCTCCACCGCCCCCTTTCAGTACCTTTGTTTGTTAATGTTGATGAAAGCTCGTCAAATGAAATATTACAGTGATGGTCGTGGATAATGAGGAGTTGAACCCGTGTCTGTTTATTAGGAGGAATTAGCACAACTCGCATGGCAGCTAAAGCATTTGGGAAATGGAAACTGAAACTGGGAGCTGATGCTTTGACAAGCAGCATGAAGCACTGTTCTGTTGTTTCTCTAGTAAATAACTTAATCTTCAATTTTCAATTTTTGAACAGAAATAATAGAAATTTCTAATGAAAACTAGCACCCATATGCCTGCATTATGTGTGTGCACGTGAGGGAAAGTTGGAGTTAAGTACTGTACTTGTTTTCTAAAATGGCTGCCCACAGCATTCAGCTGCACAGTGAAGTTATGTTCATTTTTATAGTTCACAGTAAGTCATACTGTGTCATAAACCACACTGACAGATCTGTGTGACCGTAATGAAGATCTGGAAGTAGTTTGAGTGAGTTGAGAGAAACCTTAGGGACATATTTATGAAAAAGATTTGGGTGACTACTGACTTGTGTTTGTTAGCAACGTTAGCCTCCAGGCACTTAACCAAATAAGCAAAATTTGGACACTGAACATGTCTTGGCTGATCAACTACATGTGGGGTAAGTAGAAAATCGTGTAAATGGGATTTTTTGCCAAACTGTTACTTTAATGTGAGAAAAAAATGAAACCATTAGGGATGAAGAAGTGAAATTACAGCCAGAGATCAGTGACTCAGACTCAAGTCGCATGTTGACTGACCAATGAACACAACTGTAGTTTGGATAAACTAACAGCTAAATATAATCTAAGCTTCTTCAGTACTTTGTGTGTCCAACCTTTTCCTTTATTACAGCTTTCATTCTTTTCGAGAGACTTGCTTTTAATTTTTCAGAGAAATCTGCAGGGATATTTTTCCACACCTCCAAAGTTCAGTCTTAGAAGTTGGCTGCATTTTTTGCTTCTCAGAATCCAAGTTATCTCAAACACATTCAGTAATGCTGAGGTCTGGACTCTGGGGAGGTCAGTTCATTGTTCTGAGAACACCAGCAGCTTCTTTGTTTGATTTTCAAATTTTCTATTTCTTTTTTACTCTATTTTGTTTTTTGGCTTGAACTTCTGTACGACGTACTTCGAACAATTACCGTTACATACATTATTAATCAATACATTTATTAACTACGCTTAGGATTTTTCACAATGTAGATTGTTGCACCACCTTTTAGGAGACCACTAATTTAAAAATGTGAATCTGGGGGGCCCCAATCCTGTCTTTCACATAGGGTCCCAGAATCACTAAATCTGCCCATGATTACTGAACAGACAAATAGAGTGCATAAGACATCAGAATACAACAATCTGAAACATACTACATGCTACTCAGGATATAACCAGGAAGCAGAAGTGTATTACGTTGCCATTATGACACACATCCGAGAATGAGTGTATAGATTTCCTGCCATTGAAAGTAGTGACCTGCGCTGAGAGCACGTACGCTCGAGGGCCAATATCTACGGCTGTAAATGTCAGTGATCTTCAGGATTGGCTCTGCTCTGAAACTGAGTGTGAACTGTCACTTCTCATTTGGCTGAGGACACCAATTCTGACTTTGACTCACCGGAAGTTCAGTGTTAATCAATGAGGTGCTTTAAGGTGCTGCGGTCCAGGTTCAGTTATCCATTCAGGCGTGGTTTTGTGTGTGTGTGTGTGTGTGTGTGTGTGTGTGCGCGCGCGTACATCTACCAAGTCCACTTTTATTAGGTTCCACTGAATGATATCCATATAATAATAAACATTTACCGTAAACATCCAATTAAATTTTCTAATCTGGAGCACAGGGACTGTCCATGTCAGGGAGCGGTAAATTTTTACAGGTCGGCATTCTCAATGAGTAAACTGACTGTGATTGTATGCGTTTATGATGTTATGACGAGCTTTGCTTTGGATGCATAAAGACTGTAATCATCTTATAATTAGGATAAGGATCATTCTTCCGAAACTGGTTGAGTTGAAAACACATTTTGGACTTTTAAACTGACTTAAGAGTAAAATTCTTTTGCTTTGAGTGACTCTATACCTTAATAATAATTATTTTATTTAAACAAATGGTTGAACAATCCATTTTGTCCTTACTAATGTTTCAGTAGTGACAATTTCAGCTAATTTTGAGCAGAACTCAAAACAGTACATGACTATCGAACACAGCTTTGAACAGCTGTACACACATAAAATCATATTATTTTTCATTAAAACACACAAGTTTACTTAATTTCAGAAAATGTGTTTTAGTAGTGACAATTCTTAATGTTACAGACTGATTTTCAGACTTTGGGACACATTTACTTCAAAACAATAGGCCTCAATCACCAATATCCTCCTAAGTTTTTTCTTAAATGTGTTCTTGAGAAAGGCCCTAAGAAAAAGTCTACATCAGATTCACGATGTGTTCTTAAAGCACATAACTGTTCACACCTCTGTGCTCTTGAGTTTATGTAGTTAAATCTAGCTAAACCTTTAAAACTTAAAAAAAAAAATAAAAAAATAAAGATCTTAAAAAAAAAACACTGGAAAAAATGTATGTATGATTTTGACAAGTGTAAGTTTAGGGTTTGGGACAGACACTTCCCAATAGAAAGTATCCTAAAAATGATGATTGTGTTCATATTTAGCTTATTACTGTCTCAGTTAAAGCGCTGAATTTAAATTGATCATAATGTAATCCTTGTAAATATTAAAGGTCTGCTTCATTTATTTACTTTCTTACTGTGGGACTGCAGTTTGAATTAATTCAGTAGAATGGTCCATATAAGTAAATGGGCGTCCTTATAGGAGGTATTTTAACATAACATGTTCAACAGTGTTTACATCAAACATCCTTTATTTAAAAAAAAAAAATGAGGAAAATTCAAGTCTTAATGATATGGGCATTTAAAATTTTAAATACCTTTATTTATTAAAAAATAATTTCAGGCAACATATAACACAATATTATTTTTCTATATGAATAGATTGAAGAAACCAGTATGGAGTTTTTAGGCTACAATGTCGCCCTCTGCTGCTCAAGTGAAGTAAACGCAAGTGAGTTTCTTAAAAGTCATCAGCCGAGGGCAGAGGTACAACGCGACAAAATAAAAGTCACACTATGATTAAAGATAGTAGTAAATTTCACATTAGCCAAAGGACATAATAGCATTATTCATAGTTTATAGTCCTTGATTATTATATTATTACATAATAATATGTTAATATCATAAATGGTTGATAATAAATAAATTAATTCTTTATTATTATTATTATCCATCCATCCATCATCTAAACCGCTTATCCTTCTGGGTCGCGGTGGGGTGCTGGGAGCCTATCTCAGCTGTCATTGGGCGTATATTATTATTATTATTATTATTATTATACTACTACTACTACTACTCGTATATTAATTTAATATATTAATTCTTGGTCTCAATATATGAATTCGTGGCCTCAATATAGTAATTCGTGGCCACGCCTTATTAAAAATGATCACCATGTCACCTTAGGGGCTCCGTATAAAAGAACCGGTCCAGAAAAGCTGTGGTCGAACAGTCGGCCGGTGCTGCTGCTGTAGTAACTACCCGGAGCTGCGCTCGGTTCTCCCCCCTGTCAGCAGGAGGCAGCACACACAAGAGCTCACACCGACACACCCGCCGTGTACACACTCAGACGGGAGAATGGCCTCCTCCATGAGCGGTATGTTCCCGGGTCAGCAGCCCCCCGCTCACCCCGCTCCTGTCCCCGGAGCCGCGGCTCCTCTCTCAGCACCCTCCAGCAGCAGAGCTCCGGGCAGCGGCGGCAGCACCACTCTGGTGGACGACCTGGAGGCTTCATTCGAGGTGAGAGAACCGCAGAAAACAGCCGAGCTAACGAGCTAATGCGCTAACGGAGCAAACAACGAAACTGGAGTCAGAGTCACGGTCGAATCTTCCCGTTCCACCTTAAATGGTGCAGCAGTTGCCTTCTGGAGCTTCAGTGAGAAAGTATAACTGCTGCGCCATTTAAGGTGGAACGGGAAAATTCGAACAAGAAGCTGGAAAAAAGCTTCGAAGCAGGAAGGCAAATTCAGCCTCGAACAAATATCCACTGAAATGAAGAAGTGTTTTGAACTTACTTGATCCAAATGTGTGCGATTTCACAGTAACGCGGTATTTTACAGAAATGTGCTACATCAGTTTTGTGTTTCAGTTTATCCAACGTAAAATGCAGTAACGTTAAATGCGCGGCGTTTTTCGTTGTTTTCTCCCGTGTAAGTCCAGTGTAGGTTGATGTTGGCTTAATAAAACATTTTTAAAGAAAACGTTTAGAAAAGAAATGTCTGCATAATTCAGTGGTTGTGATGTAAATAATGCCATTCAGGGTAGTTTGGTGTGAAATGCTTCACTTAGACTTCACTTAGCAGAAACTTAGACTCTTGCTTCTTTAGCTGCATTAGTGGTGCTGGAAACTAGGAGTCACTTTGTCTACAGCTTAAAGCATATTTACTTCATTTGCTAAAGAAAAACAACTAGTGAACTTGAAAACATGTATTTTCTGAGTTGTTATGGTAGAATAGTGGTAAATCTGAAAAAATATACTTTATTCATATTAACTTGCTATACAGTGCCTTGCATGCATCTGTTCTCTGTGAGTGGGTTTTAAAAAACAAAATTTTAACTTAGACATTTTTTTACGATTTAAAGTTATCAGGCAACACATCTGTAAACATTTTTATAATGACTGTCAATGAGGTCGCATTTAGAGGCATTATGTTGCATTTTCACATCAAGCCACTCTGAATGACTTTGTGCATATCTCATTTAAATTATGCGGAAATGTTTGGAAAGTCAGCTTATTTTGTGCTTTGTTGTGCGAAACTTAACATTGTTTTGAAATGTGGACAGACAAGAAACGTTTCTTCATTAAACTAAATGAAGTGTGCTGCTGATGGAGTTTAGCAAGTCCATACAGCAGCTGGAGTGCAGCAAGAAGTCAGGACCCAAAATATTGAAAACTTATGTTTTACTCTATGCAAAAGTTTGAACATCCCAGTCAAATTATGTTTTGTTGATTTTTCAAAATAAAAATCAGTTTTGCGTGTCTCTGTGTGTTACAGGCATGCTTCGCATCGCTCGTGAGCCAAGACTATGTGAATGGGACGGACCAGGAGGAAATCAGAACAGGTAAAATGTGTAGTATGAGCATGCTTTTAAAATTTTTTTGGGTTAAGCTTCTTGGTAGTTGAACACTGTTACATGCAGAAGAGGAAGCTGATGCTCAGTGAATGAAGTGTGTGTGTCTTATAGGGGTCGACCAGTGCATTCAGAAGTTTCTGGATGTGGCCAGACAGATAGAATGCTTTTTCCTCCAGAAGAGACTACAACTGTCAGTACAGAAGCCTGAGCAGGTGGAGAAAGAGGTGAATTTTCGTTGTCTTACGCACATAATCATCCTTTGTGAAACTACTTTAATGCCTTGTGATGCTTCAATCAGAACAGTATTCTGGAACATCACAGTCAGTCAACATACAGTACTGTGCAAAAGCCGTAGGCAACCAAGAACACTGTTCAAAAGTGTTTAAAAGTAAAATGAAAAGTTAACACTTCGTCTACAGAGAACACACTTTTAATACGCTGTTGTTGTTTATTTACTGAATTTAACATGTTGGGGAAAATAATAAAACAAAATGTTGCCTGTGCAAAAGTTATGACACATTTTATTTTATGTTTAAAATTTTCCTTTAAACTTAGCAAATAAATGGAAATTGTGTGCTGAAATTTGCATCAAAATGCCATATTCAAGTTTGTTCTCTGCAGAGGATGTGTTAACTGAATTTGATGGGGATGTTCAACCTTTTGCATGCTGTAAAACAGTTATCAATGTTAGTTGATGTATGAGGCTCAATGAAATCAGTGAAATTTGATATTTTCTGATGTATTGAAATCATTTCTAAAGAATCAACATCAAATAGAATCAATATGGGGTCAGAGATTTACATCCCTGTTGTCACCTAGCTTATAAATGGTTGTTGAGGATAAGTGTATTAACTGTTAAACTGTTTTTCACGATTGCAGTCGTTTAAAATGATCAAGGTCTGAAAGCGTAATGGCTGCAAAACATTTAGCAAACGTTTCCTGTGTCTCTTCTATGTTAGGACATATCGGAACTGAGGAATGAGCTCCAGAGGAAAGAGATGCTGATTCAGAAGCACCTGACTAAGATCCATCACTGGCAGCAGGTGCTGGAGGACATTAACGTCCAGCACAAGAAGCCTACAGAGCTGCCTCAGGGTCCACTGGCCTTTTTGGAACAGGCCTCCGCCAACCTACCTGCCCCAATCAAACCCAACTGAAGATCCCTGAAGATGTAGAAACTGGACACTAAAACGATTTGTGGTTATTGTGTTGATATTGACAATTTCGGGCAATTTTGTCCATCAAGATTCCAGAGCCATGGTGGAGCCTATGCTACATGGTTCCTAGATTTTTGATTGTGAGAAGAAATGGAAGCAAATTTCATATTTAGTGAGAGAAAACTATAACTGGGTGCAGCCAAGGTTACTTGTAAGCAATATTTACGGTAAACCAAAGCCCAAAGTTTTGCCCAAAGCTAACTCTTGGGTACAGTTTGTCATCAACTCAAATAGCTTTTATATCTGATCTGAATTTTCTGAATTTGAAGACCTTTTGAATTTGATATCTCTGGATGATCAACTATTTGTTTAAGAGGAGTGCTTTTGTCATTGTGTGGATATTTAACAATCTTTTTGTACTCTCTAGAATAAATGTGCATTTTGTAGTTTGTGTGCTTTCCAGAATGAAGTAGCCATCACATTCAGAAAAAAACCCTATATGGTTATCAGAAGAGTTGTTTACTAAGAGTTCTTAGGCAAGTTGTAAAATTTGCAGGAGAGGAGCAGCTGGTCAGGCATGTTCAAACCATTAAAGGCCAATATGAACTTAATTTAAGCTCTAGACATACTTTTGTTAAAAACCATTTTAAAATAAGATGTGCCTGCGCTACTGTAAGTCCTGTAATGTCTGAAATAATAATTTAAGCATCAGAGGTGTCAGTTTGGGTTTTGTGGGAGTTTTTTGAAGCATGACGTGCGTCTACATGGTAACGTCACGCAGTGTCAAAAAGAAGGTCTGGCTCACGTTTACTCAAATGCAACATCAACATTATACTGGCACCTGAATTCTTGAATACGCTTTCAATTGCACTCGCAATCATCAGATTTACTGCCCGAGAAAAGGGTCCGAAGCACAACAGATGTTGCAGTGTTCTTCTGCATGTTGTGTGTAATTACACATTTCCACCAGAGAGGTCCCCATAATGTTCATAGCACAGGTTTAAGAACAACACTATAATACAGGGGCGCTCAAATTTTTGTCTTGGGGGGCCAAAATGTAATGTTTGTGGTGTGGCAGGGCCAAAAACACAAAATGATATACAAATGAAGTAAGTTACAAGTTTCTAAAACCATTTTTAACATTTTAACCTCAAAATTATGTTGGTTCTCTGATTGGGTGAGGGGGTAGTCAAACTTTCTGGCAGGCCACAACAAATGTCCTTACAGACCGACTTTGGCTACTGCTCTGATGTTTAGATGATGTGATCATTCTGGCAGGAAGCATAGGGGAGATAAAGTTTGTTTTGTTGCACCATAAAAGAAGAAAAGTAAAGTCTTGATGCAAAAAATTGGCCAATCAGGATTTTTTTTTTATGGCATCCGGGTAGTCCAGTCTTCTTTGGTTAGGTCTTCAAGAGCTAGACAGAAGACCTTGTGTTTGATTAACAACTAACATTATTAGGATTTGCAATAGGCAGGACCAGTTTTGTGAGAAAAAAACAAGCCTAACAGCCGAGCTTTAACAGTCACAGCTCACCACTGCGTGTGAATATCTGAAACTACACCATTATATTCAAAACTTAGTTACATTCAAATATTGCATGTCAGTTTGATAGAAACTACATAAAACTGATTGACTAAAAGATTAAATTTCAAAGACCTTTTGTCTTCGCTTTTCGTGGGATGTGAAATATTTTGCTCTAATGCAATACATTCAAGTATTGCATTAGAGCAAAATATAAGTTTTGTGAATAGTGTGAACATGCAGGCCTAATGATGATCATGCTCTGCTCTTTTAACTGTATGTCATTAATAATTTGAATCCAGCTGACATTTTAAATGTCATGAAAAATGTCACAATGGCAAGAGATTGGTTTAAAGCATAGGTGTAAATATTGGAAAAGGGAGGCTATGTGGCCCCCAGTGTTTAGAGGGGAATGAGTTGTCCCTTCAGTTATTTCCTTTCCTCAGTGTGCCTTATGACAGCTTTTGGCTATTACATTTTCAAAGAGTTACTTAAAACACCTCATATCATTTTAAACAGAAACTGTGGCTTAATTTTATAGGTAACTGTATGCTCCATCCATCACATTAATTCATGATAAATGAAGTCGGTACAGCCGGGGACATTCATGTCTCTTTGTAATATGAAATTGTGCTAAATACTCTCAGAAATTAAACGTGTTATGGCTGCACAATAAATGTATGTAAATCAACTGTGTGAAAAAGCATTCAGACCGTCAAACTCCTTAGTTATTGTCATACAAACTCAGTGCCAAAAAAGTTGTGACTGTGTAAAATTGCTAATGAAAACAGAAAGCAATGATAGTAAATTCAGGTTGACCTGTATTCAAAAAAAAAAAACAAAAAAAACACTCATTCCAAATTTGATGCCTTCAACAGATTCCATTACAGGCAGGCCAGTCTAGCACATGGTTACTCGTCCATGTTGTAATGTGCAGAATGTGACGTGGCCTTGCCATGTTTAAGTAAGCATGGACGTTCCTGAAAAAGAGGTCATCTAGAAACATGTGCTTACTAATACCCCCAGACCATGACAGACCTTGGCTTTTGAACATTATGCTGGTACCAATGTGGGTGGTCCTTTTTTTTGACCTGGAGAAGACAACATCCATTATTTACATAAACAGTCGCAAAGTTTGACTACAATACATCCTTCCACCTCATGCAACGGAGTGCATGCACATCTCTTCACCTTTCCTGCCTGCCTGCAGTCCAGAGCATATTATAAAGCACAAAATGAATGAACAATGAAGGTCCCATATGGTTGTGCAGCATGTCTAAAAGAAGAATGGCAAAAAAAAAAAATCCGCTTTCATATCTCAATTGGTGTCTTCAGTCCCCAAACGATTATTAAGTCCTGTAAAAGAAAGAAATGTGATGTAACACAGTGGTAAACATGCTCTTGTCCCAGCTTTTCTGAAACATGTTGCAGCCATCAAATTTGGAATGAGCATTTCACGTAACATTCCATAATTTGGTTGAACTGAGGTTTGAATAATGGGCTACAGGTAGTAATCATAAATGTGCAAAGTGCACTTATAAGGCGAATATACCTGATAAAATGATGTACAAGGAAAATCCTCTAATACTCAAAATTAACAGGAGCAACATTCATTTACCCAAGACGCATTCATCTTTTTTCCTCTGTAACTGGTCTCTCTCTATAGTGAAGTTGCTGTAACTGGCAATTTACTGTTATTACGTTGTACGATTTGATCCACAGTGCCATGATGGCAGTCAGCAAGAGAACACACAGTAAACCCACACACATTGCAGCCAGTCTAGTTCCTGCCACGCTCTTTCCTGAAATTGAATTATTAGATGGATATGGAATTTACATTTCGTACGGTCATAATTTTAAATACCACCATCATTTATTTAATTTGCCTAACACTCCAAACATTCGCTATGTTTGTTGAACTATAACTATATCCTGTAGCACATCGTAATTCTCTCTTTAGCATGTTTTAATATATTGGACAGCGATAGGTTCCAGCTTATTTGTGACATACAAAACAAAGTTAAAGAGAGTGAATTTTGCACACAACACAATTGACCCAAATACCAATTTAAAATATATATAATTACCCATCCAAGATGAGTTAAGCATTTCTGTGATGGATATCACCGCAAGAATACCTTGACAAACCGTTGTCGATAAACACTGTCTGTTGCTGCATCTGCAAATGCAAGTTAAGACTGTACTATGCATAGCTTAAGTTAAATGTCAACAACATGTAGAAACCCTGCCCACTTCTCTGGGCTCAAGCTCATCTGAAGAACCACAATTGTGGTATTGTGGTCAGAACAACCTTTCAGATTTTTAATGGAAATAATGGACGGTGTGTTCTCTGGGCTAAAGAAGTAAAGGACCATCTAGGTCAGTGGTCACCTTCTTCCGGGAGATATACTTTCCTGCAGATTTTAATTCTAGCCTGCATCTAAAATGCTGCCTCCTCCTTCTTTAACACTAATGCATCTGATCCAGCTAATCAGGGACTTCTGAAAACATTAATTAGCTTCAATAAATTCAATAAAAATGTTTTACCCATTAAAGTATTTAAGGTTCAAGAAAATTTGGTTTATCTGGTTTTACTTAAATCAGGTTGTATGTAGCCTTAACAATGCATATCATTCTATAAACTAGTAGATTGATGGAAGAGCATAGTTTTGTGCTGAAGCTCCACGAACAGTTGACAACATTGCAGATAACCTTTTCTAGTCATACAGGTTCACAACACATAAGGGAAGCTGGGGTAAGTTGAGCCTCGACAAGGAAGAAGACAGAATTCAAACTAGTACTTGCATCCCTATTTTTTTTGTCTAATCATGCCATCCAAGTACTCTTCAAATACTTGGAAGGCAAGAGTTTATCAGGTGACCTTCCAGAAGCTGATTTGAAGCCAAATGTAGAGTGGAGAGCTGACTCCAGAAATAAACATTTTAAGTTTAGTTTTCTTTCCTTCTTCAATATTTAAGACTTAGTTTGGAAACCAAGGGAACACCAGGAGTTAGACTTGAGAAGAGTTTAAGTTACTGGCCAGGGAGACACCAGCTTGCAACATAACAGACCCAACGCCGAGCACAAGATCAAGTGAGAGCTCTCCTTAAGCAGGCCTCACACAGGTGGTGCTGCTTGCCAGTGATTGCCTTCGAGGCTGCTCTCTGCCTCCCTCTGGTGGCACATTCTGGTCTAGCAGTGCCTCCTGCTACTCTGGCTGCTCCCTGTGTCTCTCTGGCAACACGATACTGTCTTGGCCACCAGCTGACACTGAATTCATATTTGATGGAGTCAGAGTAAAAGGATGGGACTTCAGCTCCAAAGGTTATGACAACAGGAAAGGCCACTAACTTTCCAATAATGAACTCTGTTTTAAGTGATGCGGGAGTACTGTGTGAACATCCCCTCAGCTCTTAAAGTAACTCTTTGTATGTGCTACTACTGGATTCCTGCCACTATTAGAGGAAAGACTTTGCAGAAATCCATGGTGTCTCAGTCTACGATGGAAATATGATCTCATCACCATACATCTGGGCTTATGTAATGCATATATTTAAGGCAGCGGTTTCCGTTTAAACATGGTACAAATTGTGGTTATGGTTTTTCTAAGTACAGTTTCCACCCTGTAGCCTAGCTGATGACCCACTGCATGTTTTTTTTATGTTTTTTTTTTTGCATGCTGTTGCTGTGACTGGCTCACGGCTGTTGTCCCATTGTTCAAATATCTGTGTAGATTAGGATTTACCCTCATCTAACGCTCTGAATTCAGTTCTTGCTAATCAGCTGATGAGCTGAATGAGGTGTGTTTAATGAGACAGTGTACTGAAGTCTGCAGTGTTTTGGCCCACAAGGACTGAAGCCTGACACGTGCCTTAAATGGGATAGAATTGAAAAGTATATCACTGCTGTCAGACCAAAACCTTGTATGCCATTTTTCAGTTTTTGACATAATTTGGAAAAACCTACTGTCCTTTAGATTGTAGGTAAATTTCAAGAGGAATGCACCAAAAGAAATGGCCCAAAATTACTAGGGCAAAAGTCTGGTTCCATTGACTTACAGTGTGAGTGTGTGTTTGTGTATGCATATGTAAGGCAAGACACTACATATAAAATAACTGAATAGGTTAATATTAGTAAACAGAAGTTACTTGAGCAGCGACTGATCAGATTGTCGATATAGTTGGCA